GTCACGGCCCTAAGCCTGCCAGAGCTCAGGAAGCCTTTGGACAATGCTCTCAGGCACATGGTGTGATTCTTGGAGTTGTCTTGTGCTTGACTTGGTGATCCTTGTGGGTCCCTTCCAACTCAGGATATTCTGTTATTCCATGGTTCTAAGCTTCCCACTGAACTGATTTCAGTAACCAGGATTGCCATAGTGGCAGGTCTGATGCCTGGATTCATGTTACAGGCCTTCACTAGAATCTCTTCACCTTGCCAAATCCACGCTTTGTACTTTACTGGCTTTTCTCAGATCGTATCCAAGTATTTCTTAAGTATTAAAGAGTATACGAAAAAAAAAAATCAGAACTAGGTTGCTGCTAGGTTGGTAGTTGTGTACTTACCTTCTGTAATATTTTTTTTTTTTTAACCTTGGACTTCAGAAGTTTAAAATTTCTATGAAATCTGCATGTGCTAAATTATCATGTGTGAGATGATACTTACTGTGCACACATTTTGAACCATATTGCATACTGTGATCTAATAATTCTCTAAAGGATATGGAAAATATCCATATTTCCTGGAGAAGCGGGGTGATACTTTGAGCTTTGGACATGCTAGGGTTTCTCTCAGAAATCTGAATCAGAAAGATTAAAGTACAAAATTACAAGAGCTCTGTGTTTTCAGATCAGGACCTTTACCAAGCAAGCAGATTTGCAGTGGTAACATAAAGGCAGCATTCGACCTTCTCCACCATTCTCCACCCCTTATAAAGGAAATACATTATGGTGGCTAGTTAGTATTCATAAGAAGTCACTAAAGAGATGATTTGCCTTGGAATAAATATGATTGAATTAGAAATGCATAGTACTGATACCCTGACCTCAAGTAAATGGGTTCCTTATTTATAAAAATGTACCTAGATATACTTCTCTGTTAGGCTGTTAATTGTGTTCGTATATTAAGTAAATATGTAACTCAATTCCAAGAGTAATTGAAAGGTTTTATATAGGAAGATGAAAGGGGAATGGCACTTCATTCAGACTTTTGAATAAACTAATCAGACTACTCTGAAAATTGATATATATTTGCATTTTAAAATACGAAATACAAAATGTGTCTGCTTTCTTATAAAGTAGATATTATGCAGTAGAACTCTTATAGAGTAGATCTATTATTTTTAGGGGTTTAATTAAAGATGATTGCAGATTGTCTTCGGTAAGGAATTAATATTCAGCTTTGGCAACGCTGTTTCTTTAACACTGTTCTGCAGTTAACGTTTCTAAGCTCTGAAACAACTGCTAAAGTAGTTGAAGTAAGTAAATAAGTAATAAAAAGCACATCAAAGTAGTTATGATGAGACAGCCAGATGGCAGAGAATTGCAGTTCTTGCTGTAATTTTATCAAAATTACTATTGTCATGGCATGTTAGTTTTCATAAGAATTTGTACAGTCACTGATCTGATACAGACAAATTAATTTCAGGTTCTCTCATGTGTAGTCGCATATCAGCTATACTTGAGCACGCACAAAGGAAAATTAAATAATCATAGTCACATAAACTTGAAAAGCGGCACAATTTAAGTTTACTATTCCATAACGTCTTGGGATCAGCGATCATTTTTCTTATGGTAGACTCAATTTGATCTACAGCAGTTCTGCCATTATATGGTTTCTGCTGCATTTAATCTTCATTATGAAAAGATATAGTATCACCTAATAGGGTGGAATTAGTAGTAATGCACAAGCATTGTAATAATTCCTCTGAGTTATATCATTTGGTGGAGTTTCCTACTTTTACCTCTCTCATAAAGCTACTGGGACGAAAATAATTGAACCATTTAAGTTTCATAAATATGTTATCATTACATGTTCTCTTCTTTGGTAAAGGATAACCTTTATGTGTCTTATAAACGCTTGCAGGGGAGAAAAGATTGAGCCTTGCATACAGTGAGCGTGTAATCTGAATTTGATTTGAATCCCAGGCAGGATAATGGCAGTTTGTTTCTCCAGAGGAGGAAGCCCCGTGGCAGACCCCGAGGGGATTCCTCTGCTGAAGCTGGGCTTTTTAGGCAAACGCTTTTTCCTACTGTTTCTATCACTGCGTGATTACATGTGAAGCCCTCCCCATTAAGAAATGGTGGGTAGGACAGGTGTGTAAGCATATAGAATTTAAAGCACTTTTAAAATTCACGTGGTCTGGCTGCAGCAGATATCTGTTTTTAGTCAATTTAAGGCAGCGTAACTATAGACTACTGTTTGTTTGGTTGGGTTTTTTTTGAGTTACTGGCCCCGTGACTTTAGGACTAACTTTTCACAGATTCTTATTTCTCTGTGTTGGCACATGAGCTCCTCAATAAAAAAGAGCTGAAAAAGCTTATGGAGAAATAATCAGACTGATGGTGACAGACCTTGATGGTGCTGGAAGCTCATCAGTTTTCTTTGTAATGCCAAGGAAAACAACAGATGTAGAGGAAACTTAAATCTCAGCTACTTTGGCAAAATTTTATTTACTGCAATACAAAATCAGTGTAAGGAGGCGATTTTAATGATTCTGTTTGATCAGATTTCTTTCTCCACCCTTGTGTAGCTCCCCAATCTATCTATACAGTCAAATTAGGTTCAGAGGTTTGTGCCTGTTGTTCTCATTGATGTCAAAATACTCTAAGCTGATGTTTGAATCACTGAAATAAGTTAAATTCCAGTGGTTGTGTAGCGAATGTGTCATCACAAGAATATGGCAAAATACAATGGAGGCATAACAGAAAATGAGATTATTTCTACATAAGCAGTTTGTCATAGATATATCTGAGAGAGTTCATTTGGCAGGGGAGGTAGTTATTCCCATGATTCTAAGAGCAATTGCATTTTAGTGGGCAGGTTGTTTCATTTTATCCCGTGTCTGACTTCACTTGTGGATCTGCCCAAGTTCTGCTGGACCGCTAGAGTTTGTTACTGAATGGATTTTCCTGCTGCTACAGGATGAAATATGTTTTATACACAGAGGCTTTGTCATGTACTGTGTGCAGTTTTTATTCTGCTCCTTCACTTGCGTGTGGTTTCCAGCCTGCAGATCATCTGCAACTTGCATGGACAGAGAGGAAAAAAAATTCCAACAATATATTGATTTTTGATGAGCTGATAGTATGTTTTCTTGAGGTGGTAATCAATAAATAGAAAGCTGATATTATACTGTAAAACAAAACTGTGTTCAACCCCGCTTTAATCTCATGTATATTTATGCAAAAAAACCCAATCAAAAATCACTCCAAGGAATGACAATGATTTGATGAGATTATTTTAGTTTAAAACAGCGACAATAAATACACAAAACCTAGTGACACGATTGAAACAAATCCCTGTGAGAGAAAACTACCAGAAATAGAGTTGTTGAAAACCAGCATTGAAACACCTGAAGGGAGGGAAGATCGAAAGAGAAACAGGAAAAATTAAGCAAGTAATAACATGAGCAGCTGGAGAGAAAAAGAGAAACAAAATAGCACTTGACAAGAGAAAGAAAAGAAAAAAAACCCCACATTTTGTTCAAAACCTGTTATTACCAAGAAACAGTTTTCAATGTGGCTAAAAATCATGTTTAACAACACATCCAAGGCTTAATTCATTAAACACCCGAAAGCCGTGAACTTCTCTTCTTGGAGGTTAGTGAAAATAGTTTTAATCCTGTAGTTTTTTCCTATTGAGCTGTGTAAAATTTAAATAGAATTTATTTCAAACAAATGCTTATATTTATCTGTTGTTTAGTGGATGAATTATTGGTAGCAATGGAAAATAAACAACAGGGAACAAATAATCTTAGTACAGGGGACAAAGTGTCACCAGCATGTTCCTGGATACTGATTCAGTGAACATATATTTTAATATGTTTAGGGGTTTTTTAAAAGAATTAATAATTGATCTTGGGAAATATTATCTAAAAAAAAAATGTACATAGGATCTATACCATGAATGACTTTTAATTTGTCCCAAAGAATCCTGAAGAAGTCAAGGTGGATCCATGTTTGAATCTACAGGATTGAGGTTTATCTGTCTTCTTCATACTCGTGTGTATATCTAGTAGTTTTACTACTTCTAAAACCTGGTAAAATTACTCTTATATTCCTCTTATCTCTTCTGTTCTCTACTTCACCTGCTGTTGTTCTGAGGCTGAGAATAGGTATGGATTTGCCTTCTTTAAAGACAAGATTGTAAAGTAGTGCCATTCCATTTGAAATCAGTTGAAACAAATTTAGCAACAGGGTGGAGCACATCTGATCTAGGAGATCTGAAGCAGATGTTTCCAGCTATTGAGTGACTCCTCCTGGAGAATCCCTGTCCAGTTTAGAAGACTTCTCAGGGAAGCCTCCTGGTGATTCTTCTTATTTGATCTAAATAACCCCAAACAAACCCACAACAAAACTAAACCAAACTTTCCTGTCCTTTTTCTTTCTTTATGAATAATTGTGAGGTCTAAGTATGGCTTAGGGGGAGTGGAATGCATCTTGTATAATTGAAACACCTTTATGCAGTTCTATTAATTAACTTAGTTATGTTGGATTTTTCTTTCAGAGTGTTTCCTGGAGAAATAGGGGAAACTGGGTCATTGCAAACACTTGGTCATTGCAAATACTAGGTGCTGCTTGATTAGCTGGAAAATTTTTCCTAGAAAACATGTAGTTTAAATAGGGAGAACTCTTCCAAAATGCGTATTAAGGGGGAAAAAAAAAAGAAAGAAGAAAAAATTACAATGCAAACAAGCAAAACCAAAAATGCCCAACCAAAACCAATCACAAGATAAATCTAATTTCTAACAAAAACAACTGATGTGCAAAACTGATGATAAACAAGCACATTTTGGCTTCCTCACACAAAAGCTGTGTTAGTCCTGTAAATGTTGCTCTGCTCGTGTGTTTCTGGTGAAGGCAGGATTTGTGTCCGTCGTTTATGGAAATGGCTTTGCCCCTCAGCTCTTCCTCCTGGCATTTTTGAGAGCAGCAGGGCAACTGTCAATGATGATCAAACTTTCTTCAGGAGAGGCCACACAGAAGATCTTGGGCTCACAAAAGGAACAGCCGCCTTCTGCCAATGGATGGTGCCCTGGAGGAGAACACGGGAAGCAGCAGCAAATAATGTCAGTGGTAAGGAAGCAAAGGAAGCTGTGGAAGGTATGTTTTAAAAATACTGCTTTTTTTCAGCGTGTTCAGTGTCAGAAAGGTATATAAGCACTTACCTCTATACACAACACACACTTCTATATATTTTTTTTTACCGTTTATACACGAATATGTGGGTTTTTTAGGTTGAGGGCTAAAAACTAATTTTTGGTTTGTTTTGTTTTAGCAGAGGACTTCATTTAGGAAAAAAGCCAAATCCAATAGCTATTTGCTTTCAAAATGATTACCGCTTTGTCAAGATGTATATAGTCAGAGTACCTAACACTGATTATTAATTACTGGAATAACCAGTTCCTGATGTGGTAGAGCTTTAAGCAGGAGCCAGAGATCACAGCAATGGACAGTGTGATGCAGGGAGACAGCCCTCAATGTCTCTGTGCATTACACTTTATTGGCCTTGTGGCCAGCTGCAGAGTTGCCTGCTTGCTGTTCCTGAGGGAAAAATATTTTTAGACATGTTAAATGAAGCATACTCGTGTTGTTTATTTTTTTTTTAAGGTCCAGAAGTACACATAGCACTTTAGAAATGTGTACCAAATCGTAGTTCCTGCCCTTGTAAGCACCTGATGCACAAAAAAATCCTTTAACTGTATGGGCGATCTAGCAACAGCTACTTGGAAACAGCAGAGAGGGACAAAAAAAACCCACCCTCCTTTCTTTCTTTCATTAGCTACTCTAACACAACACATAATTTCATTGTGTTGTATTTATCATAGCAGTTACTTGTAGCAGGGCAAAAAGACATTCTTGGTCATTGTGGTGGTTTGGTTGTTTTTTCCACAATTTATTCTAATTTTTAAAAATTACATATGTAGGCTACACATTAAACTGGCCATTATATTCCTTGCAACAAGGCTTTATCACCCAACTAAGAGACAACTCGTGTACATTTTCATCTGCAGAGACAACACCCTGAGTGAATCATTTATGAGAGGGCACATGCCATCCTTAAATAAGTTCTCAATGCACAGATATGCACTTGGGGTACATGTACACACTTTTGAATTTTATTTTAGACTCTCATGAGTACCTGTGCTGCTTGTGTTGCTTTGTAGCTTGTGTGACAACATGACTTCTGGGCCCTTAGGCAATGCAGAGAGAGAATTCAGACAACTGCTGATTCTTCCTTCACTGTCAAGAGGGTCTTTTTCCTAAGAATTCCCCAATCAGTTGTTTAGGGACTCAGATCCTTAAGTTTAGTATTTCTAACTTCGAGAGTACAGTGTGGGGGTTTTTTTTCAAAGCACCAGGGGCACGTTAACTTCTGAGTAAAACACTCAGGGATGTGCAATGCCCTGTTCATCAGGAGGGATGAGGTAGCTCCAGCAAAGCACTCCTGCCTGATGGTGTGCAGCAATGACAGTTTTGGAGTCCTTCTGAAACATTTAGTTCATACTCCAAAATCTATACCATATCCTTTTCTGCATGCTTGCAAATGGTTTTGAAATGACTTCCTTTATGGTTTTAATGAAGTAGTCATAATTTGTTAACAGAGGGTATCTACTGTCCTGTCTAACGCTTTCTTATTGATTTTGCAGTGAACACAAATTGTTTCATTGGATATTTTAATTAAGAAAAGAGTGTATTTGGCTACTTTTAGAAAAATCTACATAATTTAGTATGAACAGATTCCAAAAAGTTTCTCTTAGGCTTTATAGCCCTTTTGAGTGAATAAAATAGAAAAAAAATCAAGAGCATGAAGGAACGTTACTGACAGAATATCCTTGAAGTAGCTAGAATTCCATGGAGGTGCAGAACAGAAATTGTGGTGAGGAGGCTACAATTTCTGAAGTATTTGAGAAACAATTCAGCATCAGGACTACATGCATATTCATAGTGTAAATGGGAAATTTCTTCCAAACCTAACCTACTTGTTATATTACTTAATATAAGAAAGTGATATAAATAATGGCTTTTATTTAGAGCCATTACATTATTTTTTTTTAACTTCTCTGTTTTGCAAGAAAAAGCCTAGATGCTTACTAAAGTATACAACTCACTCTTTGTGGTTTCTATTGAAATTCCCAATAGAATTAATGTATATCTGTCCTTTCTAGTATATTTGTGTATTGAAAATAAACATATTTTTTTAAAAAATTAGAAATGTATACTTTAAAATGAAAATTCTTTTCAAGCTTCTTAACAACCTTTGTCTGTTGCACATGAGAACAGAGAAGGCTCTTCTTGGGGAAGTGTAAGCCCTGACCTGTACCTCTCTTTCTGCAACCAAAGCAAAGAAACCATCAGATGGAAACACTTTTCCTCCTGTTTTTATCACAAGAGCATACCTATTGTTATAAACTAGTTAAGCTTTTGCCATGTTTGAGAAGGGACACATGCCTACTTCTCCTCCCAAGTATGTATCATCTCTGCTCGGTTCCCAGGCTTGTAGAGACTCTCTCAAACACCTCAGGACTCGCCTGGATGCAGCTCCCCAATGCTTCTTAAAACAACTGTGTCTGAGGAGGTGTGGACCGACAGGGAGGAGCAGGATGAAAAAGTGGAAAAAGAGATGGTGTTTGAAGCAAATTTCTTCCATCCTACTGTAAGTCTGGAGCAACCTCTGAGCTACTGAGTCACTGAGTTTTATATTAAACATTTTCTTTTGTAACCTCTTTGTAATTTTCACTTCTTGTAATTTTTATCCTTCTGTGAACATCACCTTCCTGGCTGGTCACATTAATCAAGAGGAACTCATGATGTTCAGATGCTCGTGATATAATGGTTTCACAGAGACCAGGCAGCTCATTTGATTATAAAAAGAGCTTATTATTATTATTGTTGTTGTTTGTCATCCAACCATTCATTTAATCTGAAAGATCCAAAGCCTAAGTGTTTTCAAGTTCAGGGTCTGCCTGAATGAATTAAACTGTATACCAAGTTTGAGGTACCAGAGTTCTGGAATTGTCAGGGTTTTGGTTAATTATTTTAGGTCTGATTTTTCTTGGTCATGTTCTACTATTAGAAAGGCTGTGAAATTTTTATTCTGCCCAGCACCCTGCCTTTCAGGTTGCTTTTTGATTTCCCTAGCAGACATCTAAAGAATTTGTCAGAAGAAATGGGGAAATAACTCGGAAGAACATAATGCTGTTGCAAATGATGCTTTTTCTCTTTTTTTGGTGCTTCAGACTTCTTTTAAAGAAAGAGAAGTGGACTGTAGGTCTCTCATAACCTCAGGCAGGACACTCAAATCCACACATGATGTGCATGACTGGCCCCAAAGTCTAACTGCTTTTAAATTGTTCATAAACTGTATGACACTACTGTTACTGTACCAGTGAGCAGACACTTTGGCTTTGAAGGAGCTGACTAAAGCAGCTGCAGTATGACAAACCTCCATAGAGTAAGCACAGCCTTGCTAACTAGACTTTTAAGGACAGATTATTACTGCTAACAAAGAATTTGATTTTCTGTAAAATACTTAGGACAGAAAGACATTCTGACAATGAAAATTCTCTGATGGGGTACGAAGACTTAATAAACCAAATTTAATGCAGTATTATGTAATTGGGAACTACTGCTGGTACTATGGTTCCATTAGCTCCAATCCCTAGAAATATCTATCAGACACTACTTAATTTTAAGCAATTTAGAAAATTATGTACGTTATACGTCATCCCATTCTGGAAGGCGCTGCATCCCAAGCCATGTAAATTTAATTATGACTAAAGCCAATATGTTACACAGAAATCAGTGTACTGCACAGTAGGCAGTGTTATAAAATGAACTTACTCCAACAAGAAGACACTCAAATATATTTTCTATATTCCATGCCTCTAGTTTTCTAGTATAATCTCAAGTGAAATTTGCTGCACTAGTCTTTTCAGAAACGGTAAAGTGCTGCAACTCCATAGTATTAAACAGTCCTTAATGTCTTTCCTAAAAATGTTAGAGGAAAGAAAGAAAATGTAAAAGAAATCTGGAGTCCAAAAATAACTTTAACACGGGATGACCATGCTCTGTCTGTAATGTTTGGTACTTCTTTACTTGTTTCTGCTTACAGTCCTCTGTCTCTCACCTGTGGTAATTAGCAGTGTGCATATCCCATTCTGCTGAAATAAATGCCTCATTCACCTTTTGTGTCTTAATGATACCACAGGGTGAGCAAGTGCACTTCACGTTCTCTGTTTAATTTCTAAGGTTGGAAAATGCTCTTCTTCAGCAAAAGAAAGTGGTATTTGTAATGTTAGTCGGTAAAGCCTAAAAACTTCCCTAGGGGTTTTCACGGGCCATTGGGAGCAAATGCCCGGCTTGCAGGTCAAAATCCACAGCACTGCTAGAACCTATGTACGCAAAATCTGTTGTGCTCCATTGAACACTGTATTTTCTCCTGTCTTGTTTTGACATTACTCACAGCGAAACAGCCAAATCAATCTAGATGAATTCAATCCTTCCTGGGTGGAAAGCAGGAAAACTGTTAAAAATCCGTTGCTTTGCAGAGATTTGTAACGCTCAAAAATGTATGGCGATCGTGTTTATTGTGGAGGGAGGGCAAAATCTCTGTTTGAAAGCTAAGAACCAACTCTCTGCTTAGGATTCAGTGCTTTCAGAGGGAACAGTATTGTCAATAATAGACAGGTTTTATCTTTTTGCTAAATTTCCTTTTTAGGGTGGTGCAGCTTCTTTAAAACTTCCGGATAGTCACGTGAAGTTTTTTCGTGGTGCAATTTTACATTGTGAAACCAACACTTGGCATCTGTGAGCAAGCTTGGAAGTGTTCAGGAAACCAAGAATGAGTTGGAAAAAGTGGGACACTCTTGTGCTCCCCCCACAGATACGCAGTAGAGGCTTCCTAATACTTCCAAAGAGAAAACAAGCACAGAAGCACTTGCTAACCACTGCGCATTGAGCTGTCACCTTCGATGTACCTTTGAAATACTGGCTGTTTCTTAAAGGGGAAGATGGAAAACAGAAAGTGTAGAGTTTCATTCGCGTAGACTTTGTCAGAAAGCGCGGCTGTGAT